GCCGCGCCCCCCCCCCTCCCCGCCGCGGGCCTCCCGGGGAGCCTTCCCCCGCCCGCGGGGGCGTGCAGAGGGCGCCGCCCGCCGCCCCGCGCGTTACCTGCAAATCCGTCAGCCACCGCCTCGACGTTCCGCGCTCTCTAAGCCAGCGTGTCGGGGCGGCTCTTTATATCTGGCGGCCGGACCGCGAGGCATGTCGGGAAGTGTAGTTTCTTCTTCCTGAACGCGGGAGGGCGCTGCACCACGGAAAACTACGCGCCCCAAGGGACCCCGAGGCGTGCCAGCATGCTGGAGGGCGTGCCCGGTCTGAGCTGAGTGCGCCATCCCGGCGGTGCGGTGCGTGATCGGGTACCTTGCCGGTTCCTTCTTCTGACGGTGAACGGCGCGCTGGGTCGTTCCTTCGCCCGCTCCCTCGGAGCCCTCGCCCACTTCTGGTGCAGCGTTATCCCCCGGGGGTGCTGGGGGCGCCGCTTCGCCCTTTCTCGAGGGCCCCCCTGGGCTGCTAGTGAGGATGGAAGGCGCGGTCGGAGGCTGCCGCGCCACCGCCCCGTAACCCCCAAGCTGTCCAGCTTCTCCGCCGGCCTGCGACTGATGAGGGCGTCGCCCTCGAGGGAACCCAGCGGCCCGCGTTCTAGACGCTGCTGAACGACCTCTCTCAGGCTGCTCGCCGGGGATGATGGGACATGTAATTCCGTGGCGCTTGACGGCTGCCGGTTCTGAACGAACATCCGCTGCGGGCGCGCGTCTCCCTGGAGCCTCGCGGGGAGGCCAACTGGCTGCGCAGACCTGATCCTGGGAGGGGGGCGTTTCCTGATGGGAACGCTTTGGGGTGCTGTGGGGAGAAGCGATGGTTTTAAACGTTGAAGCTTGCAACACTGGGTTGATGCTAAAACATTGCTTCTTGGATTAGGCTCTCCTCTTCTGTTAACAATTCGCTTTTCCTCTGTCTACGGAGCCAAGCCGGTGACCTGCATTTGTTTGTTTATAATTTGGATTTCTAAGGCTGCCTAACTCAGCCACCACACTGAGTGGCACGCAGATGAAAGCGCTAGAGAGCCTTCCTCGCCTCCCCACGAAAAAGGCTGTTTGAACCGCCGGGGGATGCAGAGCCATGACCGAGAAGGCAGCCTCATAGGCCCCGTCGGTGGGCATCGCCCGGAGATGGGATGCGACGGGGGCAGACGGCGTGCGAGA